AAGTTGCAGCCTCACGTGATCGCCAATCTTCCTTCAGTATGTTAGCCTCAACAAATGGCATCACCAGGGGCACAACAGCATCTCCAACAGTCCTGGAAACAAGACCAAGACATGTACCACCAGCCATGGCCAAATTCCAGATATCATCATCCTGATCCTGATCCTCGTCCTGCTTCAATAAAGTCTCTAGTAACATAGGCACTAGTGTTGGGAGAGCTTTCTCAATGAAACGGGAGTGTGCAACACTAGAATCCCCACTATCAGGGACATCATAGTCCTGAAGCTCTATCTCCTCATCACATATAGAACTCCATAATTCAATAGCTTGAAGAGCAACAGCCTCTGCATCTTCTTTGACTGCTTTTGATGAAAGCTCGACTATTATCTGCATATAGGGCTCAAGAAACTCATAGTATGTTGATGCAATAGAAACAATACATTCAAATGCAGCCTGTCGAATCTCCACCTCCTTAGCAGTAGTTGCCTCACAAACCACCTTCATAATGTAATCCCGCTCCATCTGATTCTGAAAGTTGGTTTGGGCAAAATCGAGTGCATTGTATAAAGCCTTAGTTGCAACAAGCCGAACTTCAGGGTTCTGTTCTGTCATAGTCATGCCTGAAACTACAGCGGTCAATACAGCATTTACTTCATCTTGGACAAGATCATGGTGAGATATCTCCTCACAAACATAGCCAAGTGTTTCCAGAGTAGCCTGCTTAAGAGACGCAGCGCTTCCTTGCTGGGTCATATTAGCAAGTAATGATCCAACAAGTTCTGGCCACTCTTTTCGTGGGATTTCAATTGAAGCTATCTTGGCAATCACTTGGGAAGAAGTATGACTGGCATCGCGTACAGAAGAGTTGAGGGTGTTTAGAAGCAAGTTTTTAATTTGGGACTTAAGTGAAACATCAATTGCTGTCCATTGTTGAACAAGGTGTTCTTTCGTGGAAGCTTCTTTTGCGTCCAAAGAGTTCTTAAGCACAATACCAGCCAGTCTACGAGATTCAACAGGTTTTCCATCATTGGAGAGTTCAACTGCCAATGACAGAAGAAAAACTGGCAGATTCTGCTCTTTGAACTGAGTTAGAGTTGCCTCTGCTTCAGTCCGTATCTTTGCATCTGCCGATTGAGCAGATAGTAGAAAGTTGGTGATCTCCAAAGCCATTTCTTCTCTGTCAAACACAATTTCTTGTATTAGTGCATATATCAAGAAGTTTTTTACAGGCTACGCATATTGAAGTATATCCTAGTGCCTTTACATTATATAAAGAGTTTGTCTAATTCAAAACAAATAATTAGTCAATGGACACTGAACAGAAACTCCACTCACATAAGTAATTCGTATAAGAACATAGAGGCCTACGTAAGAAAACAAACAACAAGAGTTGACAATTCCACCTAGTCATGTGCCTATAGCCAATAAGACAAAAATCCAAAAAGCAATAAAGAAGCTTAAACCCTAACACCAAAGCTACAGAAGCCAAAAACTCATTTAAAAACAGCATTAGCCCCTACACAAACATTGAACAATGAAATCCAAATCCAAAGGAGCTAAACCCTAACATTGAGCTAAAAACTAGCAACAAGCATTGAAAGCTCTATGGAACAGCGAGAAAAAAAAAACAGATCTAAAATATTCGAGGCTTTGAGCATATAGAGCACAACAAAAATCACAAATCGACAGGGAAAAAAAAAAAAAAAAACATCACATTGTCCAACACCGTATATATAAGAGGCTATTATATCACATATCTAAACAAACAGTGAAACGGATCTATTCGCTGATGAGTAGACGACGAGTACCTTAGATGCGAAACCTCCAAGTACGAAACACTACGAAATCGACCGACGACGACGCCGCTCGCTAACTAGGGCTTTCTCCTCGACTTCTCCCTCAATCGAACAGTGACGTGCTTATATATATAAGCGGCGGTTGCTTGTATGTATCGGCGACGGTGAAGGAATGAGAAATTGATGGAGTAGAGAGAGAGAGAAACGGGAGTAGGGTATTTCGAATGAGGTGTAGAAGCGGGAGGAGGCAGCAGGTGCTTTTGTTTTTTTTATAGAGCGTTCATTTTTGAATTAGATGGGCCGCTCAGAACGGACTGGTCCCAAAGCCCAACATAGAAGGCCCATATTCGATGAACCTTTTTTTTTCTTTTTTTTTTTGACTAAATATTCGATGAACCATTATCGCTCGTTTTAGAAATTTATTACGGAGTAAGTTTGATGTAAGATTGTCTCCGGTCCCGATACCAACAACCCATCGCGATGCGCGCACTTAATATTTATCATTCTCAAAAGAATAGGAACCACAACAATTGATAACTAGGTTTAATTAGTGCTGATTGCTGAGCAAGGCGGGATTTGAATTTGAACATGTTATTTGATGTGGGGGAAAATATCACTCTTATGTTATTTGATGTGGGGGAAAATATCACTCTTTTCCTGAGTTATATATATTTATAGCACTTTTTTATCTTAAATTATTTAAATGGCTGTTTTTATTTCTGATTTTCTCATGAATTATATAGGGAAATATTTATAACATTTTTTTTTCTTGAATTATTTAAATCACAGTTTTTCCTTCTGGAATATTAAATTGATACATTTATCCTTAAAATAAATATTTTATTTATTTTTCATTTTCAATAAATTATAATTTCGATTTGGTTCAAACTGAATAGACACTATAGCAACCAAACTGAAATATTTTAATTACAATTTAAAATCGAAACCCGATATTTAGAGTTTATTAAAATCGCGAAGTGGAACGGACAATTCATGTTTCAAACTGGAAAAAAAAATACATTTATTGTTGAATTTAGACTATTTTAAAATAAAAAGGTTCAAAATCGTGAACCGGATCCGGAACCGCCGGTTTGCGGTTCAGGATCCAGTTTTTTTTTTTATTCATAATTTTAATAAACTGGAATCCAAATATTGGGTTCTAATCTGAACCATAACCGGAAACTTTCAATTCGATTGTTAGTATCCGGTTCACTTCGAACCGAACCATGATCATTCCTACGTATATGCAATAATTTGTTGGAAAAGAAAAATAAATAAAATGTTTAATTTAAGGGTAAAAATGTCAATTTAATATATCCGGAGGAAAACCACTAATTTTAAAATAATTAAGGGGCTAATGTGCTTACATGAATAATTTATGAGGAAAAAGTGCTATAAATATAAAATTAAGGAAAAAAAAAGTGTAGTTTTCCTTTGATATAATACTCTCGTTAGGGCAACCCAAGTAGTGGTATTTCTTGGATTTGTCAGATTTTTGTGTATGAATTTGAACATGTTATTTGATGTAATACTTTCGTTTGTAGTTTTTGTAGTTTTTGAGGAATTTTTAGGTGTTTTTTTATTTCTAAAGATTTTTTTAAAAAAAATTAGTTTTTTTTTTTTAGAGCAAAATTAGTTAAGACCGGGTAAGTATAAAGTATTTAATACTTTAATAGTTAATACTAAAATATTAATCTAAAAAAATATCTTAAATTGTAAATTAGAGGAAATTTCAATTTTGGTCCTATGATTATAGGGATTTTGTTAATTTAGTACCTGAGTTTTAAAAGTTTCAATTTAGTACCTTAACTATGCAATTTTTGTCAATTTTGGTCACTCCGGTCAAATTCCGCCAGAAAATTTTAATTGTTAAAATAATGAGGGTATTTTGATTATTTCACATCTCTTTTCTTCTTCCCAGGCGAATCCATCCCTTCCTCTCCCGTTTCCGCGAATTCAATGAACTGAAATGATGGGAAAAGAAAGTTTGATGATATTAAAGATAGGGTTTACAGGGAGAAAGAACACCGGAAATAGGAGAGAAAGGGATGGACTCGCCGGAGAAGAAGAAAAGAGGCGTGAAACGATCAAAATATCCTTATTATTTTAATTATTAAAATTTTCCGGCGAAATTTAACCGGCAATTTGGCCGCAGTGACCAAAATTGATAAAATTTGCATAGTTAACGTACTAAATTGACACTTTTGAAAGTCAGGCACTAAAATTAACAAGACCCCTATAGTCATATGACCAAAATTAAAATTTCCTCTTGTAAATTATATAAAGATTTAAAAAATCAAAACACAACACAAAGTCACAACTTACAAAGTAAATATTAGAGTATTTGATTACAAATTTTTATTACATTTTTTGGGTTTGCGACCGATTTGAATAATTTAGGGTTATATCACTAAAAGCGGCGTTGGTTTGAGCGAAGCAACTCATTAAAAAAAATGAAAAATAGCTAACTGGCAGCCTAAACGCCTGCCTATGCTGCCACGACCTAGGCGGCCGGTTGCCTAAAACGGCGATTTTGCCGAAATTCTAGGCGGTTGGCACCGCCTAATGCCTATGCCGCCACGACCTAGGCGGCCGGTTGCCTAAAACGGCGATTTTGCCGAAATTCTAGGCGGTTGGCACCGCCTAATGCCTATGCCGCCACGACCTAGGCGGCCGGCTGCCTAAAACGGCGATTTTGCCGAAATTCTAGGCGGCTGACACCGCCTAACGCCTAGGCACGATTTTTGTATCTTAGTTGTACTATGAACTCTTGATCTTGCAAGTGCCTGTTAATATTATTTTGCAGTGGTAGCTTTTCCCCTACATGTTTCATGTGGAAGTATTGAATACAATATTAGTATTTATTATATTTGTAGAAAGTTCATGAGTAATACCTCTTGTTTTGTTTTTATAATTTGTTTACTTGATAATAATAACAATAACTCTGTTGGTAATCTGGATACTGATGTCGCAACATGTCCAATTTCATCAACAATTTCCATATCCATTTTGCACCTGTTCATTTTCAAGTTCATATTTAGTGGGTAAAGTATGAAAATAAAAAAAATAATAATAATAAAATTAAAATAATTTGAACCATTCATTTCATCAAATAATTGGACGGACATTAAATACTGTGTATAAATATAACGGTTAGAGTGTTAGACAATTAACCTGTAACAGAGTAAAAAAAACATTGAAGAGACTTACACTTAAACGAACCTTCATTGCAAGCTGGAATTTCATGTACATGTTTCAAACAACTATGGCCACTTCGGCAGCACCCACTACAAATTCATAAATTTGTTTTGTACTTTTGTGTTTCACTATATTTGAAAAAAAAAAAAAAAAGATATTTACAGGCTATATTACTCATTCTCCAAGATTCTGTACTCCTTCATCTCTTTTACCACATAAAATGCCCAATGCCAATCTAATCTTGATTCAATCTAAATACAAAATCCAGCGTGTAAGTAAAAATGGCCTACTGCTAGCACAGTATGCCCCAAAAAGACAGGGCAGAAGAGACTGACCGGCTCACCACAGTCCACACGAAAAAGAAACTCGAGATGACCCTATTTGCTCGTCTACGTCTGCTGCTGTTCATTGAGATGTTGGCGTGCTCTCTGGAACAGCTCAAGTGTGTCTGCGTGTGAAGGATCAAGACAAAGGACTGCCTCACAATCTCGGATAGTTGACATGTGATCACCAATGGAATCGTAAAATGCTGCTCGAAGATGGAGTAGCTGTAGGTCAAGTCTGAAAGCGATGGCTCTGTTGAGCTCTGCAATGGCCTCTGCTTCCTTGTGATCATCCATCAGAACTGAAAACAATTCATTCCACTCTCAGCGATACAGAACATTTGTATTTTTATGACTTTGCTACAAATATAGGCATGTTCTTTTTATCACAGTTGAGTTAAAAAATAATGAAACTTACCAGCTGCTCTGTATCTATACGGGTATGTACGCAGGGGATCTAGCTTTGTTGCCATTATAAGATCACTTTTTGCCATATCGCGATCACAGTACTCGGAGCGTTTTTCATAAGCTGATGCATTATCCCTTGCCTTCTCAATTAACTTTGTCATCTCATCATATGCAGCTTGTCGCTGATTTTTGAGATGGTATACACGCGCCAAACCTTGATGGGCTCGTGTGTGCTTAATATCCAGGGCATTCATGTAGCAATCAATTGCATTATCTAGCTTCTCAATATCTACATAAATACTTGCAAGGTTACTTAGAGCCTGTAAAACCACAAATTAAGTGCATCAGGAGATGATTATGGGCAACAACACACTTAGGTATTCCCTATCTTCGTACAGAAAGTACTCACCTGGCCTTTCCTAAGGCCATCGGAAGGGCACCTAAGAGCTTCCTCTAACAGCTCTATAACATACATAGAAGACTGGGTATCGTGATTTGTTTCGGACAAAATGTACGCTTTTAGAAAGAAGGCTTCAAACGATCTCTTGTTTGAGAGTGATTCTTCAGCTTTAGCAATTGCTTCTTCATGAAAACCTGTGTCATACAATATCCATCCTTCATAGACTAGTCTTTCATGCACAAACCTAGCTTGGTTTCTTGCTGTTCTTAGGCTTCGCATCGCGGCTTTATGGCAATTCAACCTATAAGAACAGCACAAATCAGAGTTACATTGAGGAAACCATTGCATAAAAGCACAACATATTTTCTCCTTCACAGAACCATCAACAGGGAAGTTCCACTGGTTCAGTGCAGAGGAAGTAAAACAAAAGAAAGTTGTTCTTCTCTCTGAAAAGCCCTACAAACCATAAAAAATTAAGTTTACAGACATGCGCCCATCTTCTGTAATGGCAATACTATCCTAGTAGAGAGGAACCCATGGGAAACAAAGAAATATTCTGTAGTACACATTTTCAAAAAGCCTCACTTAATTAACATTGTCAAGGATAATGGCATTAAAGCACCACACAAATAAAATAAGAATGCTTTTAATTTGATCAGTTTATCATTTCAATTTATTTTTTAAAGAAATTAATACAACATCTTTGCTTACCGTAAGAGGAGGAGAGATTGCCGAAATTGTAGGAGGCTCTTCCCTGGGTCATTAGCCAACATATGATGTACAACAGCCAGGGAGCCAATATCATCTACTCGGGACCATCGATCATATAGTTGCATCCAGCAATCAGCTTGACTCAACTGCTGAACTGCACTACAAAGGAGCTCCACCAAGCGGTCCCCTTGCAGTTTCCCATTGAACATCATGTAATGAGGATCCAATGTTAAAAGTGCCCTGACATCTGTCAACGCTCCTATGAAATCCTTCAAGGCAATCAAAAACCAAGCACGTAGTTCCAGACAGTCAGGAGAAACTTTGAAACCAATGATTTTGTTGATCTCTGAGATAGCAGGCCCAATTTTATTTTCCTCCATCATAGAAACAGCTTTATATTTGTATGGATAAGAAAGAGTTGGGTCCAATTCAATAGCCAAATTCAAATCCATCATCTTCTCAGTCCCACTGCAATAAAGAGATCGCTCCTGATACATCCATCCAGATGGTGTGTGATCATTTATAAGGGAGTTCATCAGCTTATATGCCTTGTAAGTATGGCCGCGTTTATACTTGGATCTGGCAAAACCAACCAAAGAATAAACATGACCAGCGTCAACAGCTGCCTTGAACCATTGCTGAGCATCCTTGTACTCTTTTCTTTCATGCATCACACAGCCCAATTGGTGGAACGTAACTTGTCTTTGCCAGTCTTCGGTTGCACACTCTCCTAATCTTTCCAAGAGCATCACAGTTTTGTTTGATTTCATATCAAACTCCATGGCAATCTCGCTCAGGAAATAGTATATTAAAAAGGAAGCATGTCCCACAGCTGCTAATCTTTCCCTTCCTTCTGAACTGCAGAAGATCCTTGACACATTTGGATTCTGCATTGACATGGGCAGTTCCCTGAGGAAAACCTGTAAGCAAGCTGCAACTAGGAGATAGGCACCCTCCTCTAACCCATATTCAATAAGCAACACGGCATCCTCTATGTCAGAAACCAAAGATGACAAATATGCATCACAAGCAGACTTCATTTCCTCACAACAGAACCTATTGGCCAATGATAAGAGCTCCAAGACAACTTCTGGTTTAACAGAATCAACACTCTTTGTCCGGCTGAAGACCTCAGCTGCTTTCATTGCATTCGCAGAGAACCCATTTAGCGAGAAGTGGATCTTTTCCCTTTTTGACTCCATAAAGCTACCATACAACATTGTTTTAAACGGTACTGAAAGTGAGCCAATCTTAAATCTACTACACCTGATCTCATCACTCCCAATGCAAAATGACATATCATAATCATCATCATCTTCTTCTTCAATAGCATGGCTCGGTGAGGTGGAAATTTCCTCATCTTCCATACGACATTCAGCATCCTCATCCTCCTTTCGACTCTGGAGACACGTACAGTGATCATTAGCTGATTCAGGATTATATCCCCGCACCAAGGAGCATCTTGGGCATTCCATGCTTCTTGTACAACAACAGTCCATAGCCGACACCCCAATAAGCTCATCCTCTCTCCTCTCAAACCTCAACCATGCCGAAAGAACAACCTTAGAATGCACATCAACGGCGTGCTTCCTGGCAGAAACAAGGCTCCCCCTAAACATCTTAGGATCCGTTAAGGCCTTAAATAACACACATTGCTCAAGAAACACCCTAGACTTGTCAAATTGAGGGCAATCCTCAAACTTACGGTAGAGTTCAGCTAGAGCCTGCACGAAATCCACAGGTTTGAGGTAAGGTTCAATCTGGGGTTCAACGAGATCCGCCTGAGGGAGGCCGTAAACTGCGAGAGTTTCAGCTAAGACAGACGGATTGACAGTATTATTGGAATGTTGAAGTCTCTGGAAATTCCGGGTGGATTTGGACCCGATCATATTTCCCTTTAGATGATCATGGAGGTGCTGGAGAACACCACTAACACCGCCCGCTGTGGTGGTTCCATGATTCATGGCACAAACTTGTACGCCCTTGCATTCGTCCATCATATTCATACTACGCATCGAGGTAAATTTATTGTGTTGCGTTCCCTTATCTTTACAATTTCAAACAAATTCATTCACCAAAAATTGCTATAAAATTAAAATAAGATAAAATCTGGCAGAGAAAGGAACTAAATGTACCTGCAATCCCAGAGAAGACGGGAAAATGATGAAGAAGAAACAAACAGAACAATGGCGCCGCAGCTTGTTTGGATTAACTACGATACGAATTGAATTTTTTTTTTCTTTCTCCAATTACTGAAAATCAAAATTAAAAATTAAAAAAAAAAAACAATAATTCCTCTTGTAATTATATATTTCTGTTTTATTCTTTAGCTACATAAATTAAAATGCAGTTGATAACTCGACGGTGTCTAGCGGCGGCGGTGGTGGCCGGTAAAACGGCCACGCACTTCCTATCTCTCCCTCTCTCTATGTATCTATCTCTATAATCTGTGTGTTTCTCTCTCCTCCCCTCTCTGTTCTCTTCCGCTTTCTCTCTCTATCTATGTTTGCGTGCACAGAGATGTAAGCCCGGTTTGTAAAGCGGGTAAAGGTCCGTTAGAAATGGAGAGCCTCTGAACAGGGAAGGCCGCGTTTGGGCGCGAGTTGTTTCTCTTTCTCGGCTAGCTATTGTTTTTTGCAACTGATCTTTCCTCCGCTTGAGATCCACGTCTTTTGCTGATTGGGGAGTGGAGTACACTCAGATGCGAAGGAGCGTGGATTATGTCAGAAATTGTGTGAGACACTGGGGTTGGAGACGGAAAAGTGAGTGGATAACGATGAATATTTAGCTTAGCTATTCATTCATTAAATTTTTTAAGTACAATTTAATCTCCCAAAAAGGGAAAAAGGTAAAGTGGCCACTAAGTTAATCAATCAGTGTAATTGGATCCCCTAACTAAATAAAGTTTTATTCAGATTTAATTTTTTAAATTTGTAAAATTGTTCAATTAAATCTAAAGTGACTTGTTTAACATGTTAATTCTACACATGGTTGTAGGGATGGCAATATGCCCCATCCCCGATGGGGATCCCCGATCCCCGCCCCGATTGAGATGGGGATGGGGAAAATTTTCGGGGAACGAGGACGGGGACGGGGAGTATGTGCAATTCCCCGTCGGGGACGGGAACGGGGACGGAGATACCCCTCCCCGCCCCACCCCGTCCCCGAATATATAAATAAATAAATATAAATAAATATATATATATATATATATATATATATATATATTTATTTATTTATTTATTTATTTATTTATTTATATGTATATATAAATACTGGCAGTATACTATTTATATATGTACGTAATGAGATATATACATATTATTAATGTTGTCATTGTATATTGTATATATAAGTGCCAGTAACGCACTATACTATATATACAGGCAATACATATATATATATATATATATATATATATATATATATATATATATATATATATATATATATATATATATATATATAGTATTTTAATTTTTAAAATTAGGATTTAGATTTTTAATTTTTAAATATTAAAAATTACAATTATTTAACATTTTGACTAGGAATTGACGGGGAATGGAGAATCCCCGTCCCCGCTTAATTCCCCGCGGGGACGGGGATGGAGAATATTTTCCATTCCCCGTGGGGAACGGGGACGGGGACGGGGAGTATACTCCCCGCCCCCGCCCCGCCCCGTTGCCATCCCTACATGGTTGATACGTGTCTTTTTATATTTTTTGTTTTTTTTGGTGTTTTTTAATAAATTTTATTTATTTATTTATTAAAATATAGATTATATATTAATAAATAAATAAAAACAGCCACAGGCGAGACCTCCTATGCCGGCGTTCTTCTCCAACACTTACTACGCCATGATCACCAACCACCGCCACAGAGCTTCACCAGAATAAGCTGCTACGCCGGAGGGCATTGCAGGTTGACAAATGAGAGAGGAGTCTGCACGATCTGTTGTTGTTGGTGGCTCGCCATTGCTGCTCAGCTGCCGGGGAAGGAGGTCGCCAATAGGAGATGTTGCTGCTAGTCGGAGAACCAGTCGCCATCTATGTCAGAGGAAGCTTGCCGGGGATTCGATCCATCCATCGTCGTTGTCCGCCAGAACTGGCCATTAACGCCAGCGAGAGAGGATGTCGTTGGATCTGCTGTTCAAGTTTGTCCTAGCCACCCCGTCCACCATAGATGCTTCGCTGCTCATTGTACGCTGGAGAAGAACGTCGGCATATGAGGTTTCGCCCGTGGCTGTGTTTTTTGTTTTTTTTTTTGTTTTTTTTTTTTTGTTTTTTTATATATATAATATATATTTTAATAAATAAATAAAATTAAAAAATAAATAAATAAAAAGACGCATGTCAACCATGTGAAGACTTAACATGTTAAACAAGTCACTTTGGACTTAATTGAACAATTTTACAGGTTTAGGGGATGTGGATGAATTTTATTATTATTTTTTAGTTAGGGGACCCAATTGCACTATCTGATCGACTTAGGCGGCCAATTTGACCCACCCACCCCCCACCCCCACCCCCACCCCACAAAAAAAAAAATTACAATCCAATGAATTAATTTCACTTTTGATCCCACGACTTTTAAAGTTATATCATTTGTGGTGCACAATTTTAAATTTTTTTATGTTTTAATGCCTAACTTTGTTATTTTTATCAATTTTGGTTCATTTAGGCCAAATTGACGGCGAAATGTCTGAATTTTATATTTTTAGGGTTAAAATCGACATCCAAAGAAATATCTTCAATATCTAAACAAATCACTGTAAAATCATATCTATAAGTGTTTGATCGATGATAATAATAGGAAAGACTGACAGCAACTAGACATATATCTATGAGATTTATAGCATCGAGGATTGTCATACTTTTCTTTTTTTCTTAATATGACTTTTCTTTTGTTTAGATATTGAATATCTTTCATTTGGATGACAATTTTGTCCCAAAAATATAACATCCGGAAACATATCGCCATTAGTTTGGCCGAAAAGATCAAAACTGATAGAAATAACAAAGTTAAACACCAAAATTGAAAAATTTTAAACTTGTGCACTAAAAGTGATAATACCTTAAAAGTCGTGGGATCAAAAGTGAAATTAATTCCAACCTAATATATTCATAGTATTTACTATTTATTCAACAAATTAAATGTCAAACACTTAAAATATGTATGCTATTGATTTTAGTATTATCAAATAAAAAAACCTATAGAACAATGATGTACACTTTGCAGAGGCAGTGGCGGTAAAAGAGGCATTATCATGGGTTAAAGAACTAGGCTATGCAAAGGTTGCGATTCTATCAGGCTGTCAGATGGTTTGTACATTCCTTAATAGCTCTGGAACTGATTTTTCTTATGCAGGTTGTGCAATTGATGCTTGTAAGGAGTTTCATAGACACTTTGAAGTAGTGTCATTTAATTATATTTCTAGATAAGTGAATAAGTATGCTCACGTTGTAGCACGAGCGGCTTATTCACAAGCTGGTCCTTGTGTTTGGATTTCATCTATATCGTCTTGTATTGAGCATTTAATTTAATAAAGTTTATTCTTTCCTTTCAAAAAAAAAAAAAAAAAAAAAAAAAAAAAAAAACTAAAAAACTATAGAACAATAATCTTCATATCTCGTTCCATCTAATATTTTAGGATCATTAAGAACACTAGTATTGTCCCGTGCGATGCACGGTTAAGTATTGAAGATTTGTTTGTAGTATTTTAATTAACCAAAATGAATTTATTTATTAGACACCCAATACATTAAAAGTATTTGATGTACAAAAAAAAAATTGTCTTTGTATATTATGTAAATAACAAAATATTACACATTATTAAACACTTCATGGCAAAATAACGTTAGTAGTTGACGTACTAACATTGTTCGAGTCACTACAAATTAGAATTCTCAATCCGTCTGGATTGCTCACTCTATAAGCGACAACGTATAATTGACTATGAACAAAATCGATTTCTTTAAAAGTAAGCTAAAGTGTGATAGTGTTAGCCCATGACAGTGGTATAAGTTTTTTATTTTGAATATTCCTAATTGTAGATGATCCATTGTTTGATGACACATAATATATGTTGCGAATTGATGAACTAATTAATATGCGTTCTACAAATGATGATACTAAAAAAAAAAAAAAAATTAAAAACACACAGTACAAAAAAATAACATTACAAAAAAAAAAAAAAAAAAAAAAGAAAAAGACTTTAAGCCTAACCATGAGAAACTACATTCAATTGGGTAGACAGTGATGTGTGAAATACACCGTAAACATAATTTCGTGTTGTATTACAATCTGTCTATAATGGAATTTGTGCATACTAACTTTCATCCTTCTATATAAATTATTATTAAGCTATACATACACGTGTACTGCATGCATACTACACTATCTAACAATCTTACAATTATGTTCTCAAAAAAAAAAAAAAAAAAACAATCTTACAATTATATATATACACATACACACACACACACACATTAGAATTATCTAGAAGAGGAAGTGCTACCTAACTTTCTTAATCATCTTCCTCCCCCTCTACTGCTTGCTTTTACAGATAAGGTCGCATCTTCGGCGTTTCTCATTGCTCTCGACTTAATTAGCTTATGTATTTTAGATATATATATATATATATATATATATATATATATATCTGTATTTTATCTAATCTCCCTGTTTATCTCATTGAGTGTAAACTCTAAAATTTGGTTTAATTTTGATATTCTTAGTGCTGAGTTTTCGAATACATTCATGTTTGATCCAGAAGCAGATCTGGAGATTTTACTGCAAAGTATCGTTGTTTCCACACTTCCAAGCAAGGATTTATATTTGTCTAATTATTGGCAAAAAGCATCGTAGGTTGATAAATTTATGATGATTGGCTAAGTTAATTAGATACTTTATAATAGGATGATACTGTTTTGCATCTAGAAAAACTTTATATGAGGATACCTATTAATTGTTGATAATATTTACTCGTCAGATGGAGTAAATCTTGGAGACACGGATAAATCGTAAGCCATTTCTTAAACCCTTTTCTTTGTTAAATTTTCTTTTTAAATGAATTATTATTTTCTTGTGTTCTCTCTGTTTGATTGATCCTGTTTTTTCAAAATTTTCCTGTGTTCTCTCTCTTTTCAAAATTTGTAGTAGTTTCAGTTTTTCTTGAAAACGGGCTCAGTACATTCTATTTTGTAGGCTCAACTAAACCCAAACCCAAACCCAAAATCCGCCAGCCCAAAAGAAATTAACCCATTTGACCCCATATATAAATACATAGCACCAAACCCTTATCTCTGATTCCCGTCCTTTCGTCTTCTTCATTCTTTCTACACAATTGTTTTAGTGATTTTCACTAATTTGGTTACTTTTTTGTTCATTTGTGTTTAAAGGATCCAGTTTCGAAAGATGATAACTTTAGAAGTAACTGGCCAGGAATTCTCCATTGCACACGCTGGTGAAAGTATTTTAACGGCAAGTCACAGTCGACATTTTTTATCACCGAATCTGGTTTCTGAGTCGTTACCTCGGCTGTACACAACAAAAGTACAACACTGAAAAAACACCAATCTTCAAAAAGATAAGTATATTTCTCAATTTACTAAGTTTTTCTATTCAATCTATATGCTTGAAAATAATGTCTTTTTTGTACAGAGGCATATATATATATATATATATATATATATATATATATATATATATATATATATATATATATATATATATATATATATATATATATATCAGTTAGAGTTATTCGTGCATTATTTAAAAAATCAATACATTACAAAATCAGTTTTTGATATTTCCAATGTGTTCTTCGTTGCCATATTACATTTTCAATTTTATAATGTGTTAAATAAATTTTTAAACTCCACTTTGAAATCTGAAATATGAATGTACAGTTCACACCCACAAAATAATTAAGAAAATATAGATAAAGAATCAATACATATTCGTTTCTACAAAATACCTTGGTCCACAAAGGAATTGAAAGAGAGGCACAACTGTAGTTCTTTGAGCACACTTCACAATCTCTACATTACGTCTGCCTCTTTCCATGATTCTTCTCTTTTATTGATTCTTTTTTTTTTTTTTTCAGGCGTGACACGAATTGTTCTTCTACAGCTTCAGCTCTGAGCATCTTTTCGAATGATAACTCCGTGTGGTGGCTATCTTTCGAATTGTCCGGGCTTATTTATAGTATTATAGAAGCGATGTATATTTAATCTTGGTATTTACACTTGTAATTATGAAGTATACGAAGAGACAACTTGTTATATGCAAATATCCTCAATTATGTGTAATCAAAATAAATAAATGTTGTGGCTATGCGGATTCCCAATAATAATCAGTTCAGTTTTTTGCTTGGGCATGTGCTGGTTGGAATTGGCGGGAACTATGGCTGAAATTGGCGGGAACTATGGATTCTGCTTTATTATAGTATATATGTTTGGTTGGATAGAAAAAGTTCTTAGAATCATTAAGAATAGATGAAGACCTTACGGGAACTTAGGATTAGAGATTTTACGTTGAAAGAATATTACTCATTATATATTTTACCCGTTTTCCTTCAATCATAAGTAAATATTATATACCAACTTGCCAAATATTTGGCATTTCAATTAATATATATTTTTGGATCCAAACAAAATGCTTTTGCTTAAAGTAAAATAAGTTAAAAACACTCATAACGTAACTATTGTACATCTGCTTTAACCTATTTTCCACCTTTTTATCCAAGCAAAATGCTTTTGCTTAAAGTAAAATAAGTTAAAAACACTCCTAACGTAACTATTGTACATCTGCTTTAACCTATTTTCCACCTAAAAAAGGCACCTTCCCCTTCTACATATACATTGATTATTTAAAGAGTAAAGTTTAAAAGTTTGATTGATAACTAAAACTTTTGGGGAATCAGAGCTACATGAGTGATTAGCGTATTACGTAGTTGATTTTTAAGCAAAAGTGCGAAACTCTGGCCAGCGTGAGGTTGGCGAGGTTGGTGTAAAAATTTGGCCCATGCAGGTCTCGAACCTGCGACCTTCGCGTTATTAGCACGACGCTCTAACCAGCTGAGCTAATAGGCCATATGATGATAAATGTATAACTTTAATAACTGTACGATAAATATATCACAAGTTCACAATTCACCCACCCATGTTGACTTGGTAAACCAACTAAGTCAAAATGATGAATTAGTAACTACAAAATTACAAGATTGACTCCAAAGTCTTAGTGAGAATGATTTATTGATTTCTTTGTTTGAGCTTGTCAACTATTGACAACCTAAACTCATTTATCTATTCTTTTGTCAATTAAGGTCACAAGATGAGAGTTTATCCCATACACACAATCAGATAGTGATTTTAGACAACCTAGATTCGTTTCGTTTGCCAATTAGAGTCATAAGAACGAATTTATCTAATACACACCTTCATATAGTGACTATGGACTTCCAAAAACGTGCAGTGTACCTTCGGGTAGTGTCTATTAAACCTTCCATAAATCAAAATGGTACAAAAGTCATTACTAAATATAGAGGATTAGTATCATAAACACAAATTACAGCAAAATAATTGAACTATAATAAGAATTAAATAAAGAAAATTAAAAATCTACATAGATATAGAGGATTAGTAATTTAGTATCATAAACACAAATTAAAATTATAGCTAGCAATATGTAAGATTTAGATTTTAGACGACTGTTTTAGCACGCGCAGCTCTTCCAAACTCACAATGCGACTGTGTATGAAACAAGGAGGCAGAAGAATCCCCGTACGCATCAATAATATTCTCAACGCGCGAAGAATCATAGTTGTTCCTAGACGACGCCGCAGCAAACCTCAATTGCTTCACCCAAAGGAACAGAATCACAGATACGAGGAAAGCCGCCAGAAGCAGGACGAGGAGGAGCAGCATGATCTCGCCGTGCAGCGTGAAGTCGCGGTCGCTGGTGTACCGTAGCCCGCCGTCTTTACCTGCAGATTCTGATCCAGGAGCCATGGAAGGTGACAGTAGAGATATTAGTAACAGTGGAGCCATTTTGAGGTACGAGGTTAGCTGTTGCCGGCGCCGGTGATATGGTAAACTGGCCTGGCCGGCTTGGTAGGAGATAGAATAAATATATGGAGAGATATGTAGGCCGTGGCTTCTTGCAAGGAGGTATAGCCCACAAGGCCAGAAGGGGTGTCTCTTCTTATGTAACTTATAAAACACGTTTTAAAAAAAAATTGTGATTCAATTATTTTGTTACGAGTATTTGTTATTTAAGTACTTAATTGTTAAATATGAGTAACGTTATTGATGTAATATATATAAGCTACGTGCGAGCGGACCAAGCCTATGAACTATGTTCGGGCAATAGGGACGTGTTTCATACGCTCATCTATTATATAATACTATCGGTGAATATAGCTAGCGGAAAATTT